TAATTGAAAAAAAACAACGGATTTTTTTCGCGAGGGGTTTACTCGGTTTGCTTGAAGATTCATCGATTTAATTAATTAATTGATTATTATAATGAATTTTCATTTTTTCGGAATTGTGAAATGCGAATTTTGTATTTTCCTCCATTTTTCTGGAACATGTCTTTAATTATGAATTGAATAATTAGTTATAAATTATAATTATGATAATGAATTTAATTCAAGTTAAAAACATTTTAGATTGAAAATTTATCAGTGAATATAAGAAAAAATTAAAAATTGCGGGAAAAATTGCAATTTTTTCTCAATTTCCTGAAATTGCATCCCAATTATTTATAAAAATTACCAAATGTCCACCAAAGGTTCACGTTTGTAAAACCTCTAAATAAATTTCATTAAAAATTTTTTCCGTGCACGAAAGTGGAGAGAGAGATATTATTTTTTCATTAAGACCGATTGGGTCACAAAAAAAATCGTAACAACTGGAAAAAAGCGTTAAAAGTATATCCGTCCCACCGCGGAAGAGGTATTTACTGTCCAGATACTTTTTCGAGAATAACTTTTCCCCTAATGGGAAAACCTTCTCCCGGATGAGCGCGTCGTCCGGTCAGGAAATGACTGGAAAATATTGAAAAGGGAAACCAGTGCCACATAACGTACATTCAGGATTTAAATTTTGAACGAGTCAAGGGGGAAGTAAATTAAATCAGGGGGACGATAGGGTCTCCAGGTCCTGACAAAAAATCACGGCGAAGAGTTCAGGGCAATACGACTAATGAACGCCTTTGTGAATTACCCCAGAGCCTCAGTCCCTCAGGAGTAAAAAAATATATGAATCCGTAAAAAAAAAATGGCGGGATAATCTCACCCCATCGAGTGAGATGTTATCACCAAATTTTTTTATTCATTTTTCGGTTGAAAATTGAGGAATTATTCGACTCTTGTGAGAACTTTTTTTATTTCGTCGATTTTTTTGCTGTTCCCGGTTTTTTATAATTTTTGAAATTTTATCAATAATTTATCAAACACTTTTTAATTTTAAGATGATGAATAATTATTTAGAATTCTTATTTGCAGGAATAATTCAATTATTATCAAAGAATTGTTTAAAAAAATTCACATTATTGATTAATTAATCAATTTAAAAGGATGAATATTTATATAAATTGTTTTTAAACATTAAATCTTTTAATTAATTTTGACAACAATTTTTCAAGATGAAAAAATCCTTTTTATTAATGACAAAAAAAAATGCTTTCGGTGAGAGAAAATGATGTGATAAAAATCTATTTCCGTGAGAGGTAAAAAAAATATATAAAAATCACTGATTTAAAGCCCCACATGTCCCCGGTATCTGCTTATCACAATAATTCACTGGGGGCTAGATTTTAAGGTTGAAGGAACTCCCAGGAAACAGCAGTTGGCCCCCGAGATTCGGCATATGTCGAGGAGAAAATTCCCGAAGTCAATGTTTTTTTTTTCAGTGATCACGGTTTCGTAACAGTTTGAATAAACATTCATTTCATTCCACGAATAAATTGCCAAAAACACCCTTCCCTCAATTCGCGCGTCATCCCCTTCCCCTGATTACTAAAATAAATAAATAAATAACAGAACAAATATTTTATCTCTGACAGAAAAATTATTTATCCCAAAAAAATATTCAATCGAAATCATGAATGAAAATTTACGAATCAACTGAACTGTGAAAATTAATCGCTCGAAGTAATTACGTGAATAAATAATTGAAGATTACGAATAAAAATGTCTCAATTGAAGATGAAGAATTGTTTAATCGAGAGGAATAAATAAACAATAAGACATTACGAATTAAAATGTTGGGAATTAATGAGACAATAAGTAATCATGCGGTAATCATGAAAATAATCATCTCCGCGGGAGAAAAATTATAATAATATATATATAAAAAAATGCATTGTGTACACCTGAGTGGCGCCTCAATGCAGCTTGTAATTTCATACGAGATTGTCGAGGTACTTGGGAAATAATTACACCCCCGCAACTTAAGGAATAATAACATCCACTGCAATTACAGAAGCGTTAATAAATATGAGACTCTTGGGAAAGCACATGGTTATTATTTTTTGCGAAATCATTACAAAATATATTATTCCATTATCTCCATTTTTTCTCGAGTTATTCCTCTCGTATTTTCTGAACTGTCCGGTCATTTTTCCTCGTCAATCCGTCATGTTTACCGGAATTATCTTAAAAAATTCGATACCGTCACTTCGATCTTTCGAGTCGATTTCAGGATCGGTAAACGAACTGGATGTTTCGTAATTTTTTGTAAATATTTATCTGAGTGTTATCAGTGAATTTCTGGTGGTGGGGTTGAGCTTCGGATTGCAATATGAATTTTTATTATTTTTTGGCGTAAGTCACGTATGCCTTCGGCTGAAAAGAATCGCAACAAGAGAACGATTGCACGAACCATTTCCGCTCGGTTAACCACGTTTCAAAGACACATAGGAAATGCGCTTGTTCAAGGATTCTCATAAACTTCCGTTGCTAAGTCGACGTGAGCCAGAGTTGCCAGGTGGCGGTTTTTTTAAAAAATGTCTTTTTGATTTTGCACAGTAGCCTGGCGTAATAATTTCAGATTAAAAAAAAATCGTTTTCACATACAGCGTAAGACTTTGAAAATTTCTGTGGAATTATTCCCGGGTAAAATGATGAAGTAATTTTACTTCTTATATTTCAGATATTTTCTCTCTTCTTGAAATCGGATTTTTAAAAGCGTTTAAACTTTTTTTTAATGAAAAAACATGAAATATAATACTTTTTATACACAAGGGAGAAATTATTTCCAAACAAAAAAATATTATTCCCGACTTGAAAACATGTTTCGTTGTCGAAAGAGAAACAGAAAAAAGAGGAATGAATTTTGAAAGCTCGCATAATATTTTCAGTCTCGCCAGATCTGAATAATAAAAATTCAAATTTTCAACTGAAAAAAAAAAAATTGGCAAAATAGTGAAATCTCGATCAGCATCCGAAGAATTTCATCCCAGTGTCTTCTCCCCCTAATCGAAAAATAATGACCACATCACCAGTAATTTACCCCGGAATTAAAACGAAATTAAAACCCCAAGAATTTCAATTAACTCGACCGCAATAATCCCTCAACCCATTACCCTTAAAAGTCAGTTTACACCGTCATAAAACATTTACCGTACCCTTAATACATCTCATCAAAAAGCCAAGAAGGAAGTGCGCCTGGTGATTTTTTTTTTTATTTCCCCAGGTACCTCAGGTAAACCAACTCGTACCAATGCACATGGTACCGTCTCTTTACCGCACACTGTGGTTATCACAGCTCCTCCCATCAGATTTTTCACATTTGGCTTGAGAAGTTGCATACATACACCAGTAGCCGTTATGTCCATGAATATTTTTATGCGGTCATTCATCCCATATTTATGCCGCCATTCTTCCCTGGCTCCTCAATATCATGAGAATCAGGAAGTCAGAAAGTCTCGCGTGATTTTGTAAATGGAAAGACCATTTTCCCATCACTCCCAGCTAAAAACAACTCAGGGGTTTCGTACATGGATATTTAACCAAATGCGATTAAAAATCGCCATTTTATTTCGAGGTTATCCGATTTTTTTATCAATTTTTTTTTGGAAATTAAATCTCAATCGCTAGGGCATAATTTCATTGAGAGGAATATAGATGGGCCTTTGGGCCTGGCACTTTGGAGTATATATTATTTTTATTATTTATTGAATGATTATTTATTTTTGTAGTTTATATTATTTATTTCTCGGGAGATATTTATCCATTGTTATGTTACACCTACGGAAGTCTAAATTCTAATCCTAATCTTAATATTCGTCTTCATACAAAAAAGAGAAGGGAAATCGATCTCGAAATATCTCGAAATATCTCGAATAACCGTGAGGGTAATCCCCGTAAGACGAAACCGACCCGCCACCTCGAGGTCCCAAAATTTCAAAAATTCAAAAAAGGTTAAAAATTTTAAAAAATCGAAAAAACATGGCGATCCCTGCAGAAACCAACGAAAGCTGAAAATTATCGAACAAATCTAGCGCAGGGAACGAGTGGCGGGAAAATGAGGAAAATTCAAAAAATGAAACACGCGCGGACGATCCCGTAAATAAAAAGCCTTTTATACAATTACTTTTATTTTCCCCTTTCATTTCCAACAGTTAAACTTCGCATAAAATATTTTCACGAGATATTTGTCGTCTCTTTATCAATTCTCCATCTGTTCATGCACTCGGATTCCAAATGGAATGTAGAGTGGAGCATAAAATTTTTTCTGGATGTTCTAACGGGATGAATGACCCCAACATAATGGACAGTGTATTGTCCATGGAAGGGAGGCAGGGGGGGAGACAGCCCCCCTCCCACCCACATGGTCGCGGTCAGAGAATCTAGGCTAGAACGCGTTGGCCAACGGCAATGCACAAGCTAGTGCATTTACCTTCTATTCTGTCAGTTGCACTTCAGCCTCCGTTGATTCCAGTATAGTTTCACTTGTGGTTGATCGAGGGATTTCTTCCTTGAAATTGCCATATGGGGTCCGGACCCTAGGATCAATCGTTAATTTATGAAAGGTCAGTGGGACTCGTCAGAATTTATCCTGACATAGTCATCTGCAGAGAGAAAGTTGTTGTTGTCGGAACACTTTATTTTTTTCATCATCCGAAATTGTTTATCACTAGAAAATTGTTCTGAGGGATTTTTTTTTGGTTTTTATTATTTCTGAGAGTCTCATTTTTTTCGATGCCATTTTCTGGTGACTCAAAAAAATTCCTTGCTTTTTTAATTAATTATCAATCCCAGTGAATTGCTAAGATATTACCTGGAAATGCATCGGTCAAAAATTTGGCGTCAAAATAATATTTTCAAAATTGAAATTGTCTAGAATTTTATCGAGTGCAAGAGGGGAAGTCTGTCATGCGCACGAGGAACAGTTATTCACCCCCACAACGAAACTATCGATTCCTAACAGTTTCCCATCAGTTGTGGTTCATGGTGGCCCCTCGTTGCCAAGGAAAAATAACTATTTGTAAATAATCCTCTGGAGAAAACAATTATTCTTCACGTGCAAACATCGATTCACCGTCATTTCACAAGTGACGCGCCCCTAAATCGCGGAAAACGCGGAAAATCGCGCTAAAATGCCGTGAGTTTTTCCGCCACCGGACTATATTATTACCCTAACATAAATGTATCGAAAAAATCCACCACCGAGAATTCAAATTAAAAATTAATCCAAATTATAAATATTTTAATAATCTCCCCATAGTCTCACATTACCCAAAAAGAATTACAAGATTATAATTCATTCAATTATTTATAATAATCTACTTGAATTCGGATAGTTCAAAATCTTTTTTTAATTTGATTAATTGATTGAATTAAAATGAAAAATATTTAAAAAGCCAGGAAATTTTTCTTTTTTATTTCAGTGCTGAATTTTTTTTTGACATTGTTTTTTTTTTGGCAGAGTGTTTAATTGTTTATTTAATAGCGAGATATGAAAATCCTGGGACAGAAGCGTTTAATGAGCTCGAGTTGAGATATTCATGTGCAAAAAAATGGCCTTGACGGTTGACATAATCGTCGTGGTATAGGTTGCGCGTGATGTGCAAAGTGTTTGCTGATAAAAAATAGTGACAAATAGACATTCGTCGTGAAGGTTTCGCGTGTTATCACTTCATAATGCATTTTAGTTCGTGACCAAAGATCCTGGTCTTAACTTTCTGGGTCAAATTTATATGGAACCCAATTCCCATTAATTATCGATTTATATCAAAAACCATGGATTTCCAGTTGAAACACCCGAGGACTTTTCTGTAGTTGATTGAATTTCCCACGAAAAATGTCTCTTTCTATTTTTCCTTAGAACCAATACTATTCGATTAATCAATAGTTTAAAACATTTTATAAAGTCTCAACTTGAAGTTTGCTGTCTGGAGACGAAAATTTATAATAAAAGGAAAATTTTTAGGGAAATTAAAAACAGGAGAACAGTTCTGTGACTGTACCCAAACATTCCAACACATTTGATCAAAATAATTTTTTATTTTGATTGCATGAGCCTCGAGCAATTTTCATATCCATAATTTGCATATTTTATTTTCCAAAAAAATGCATATTTTATTTTCCAATAAAATGCATATTTTATTTTCCAATATTCCACTGGCATCATGCCATTCTTTTCCAGTTCGATAAAATTTTGGTTTTGTCTAGATCCACACGTCGTATTCTAAATAGAATCACCGTATCAATGATAAAATCGGTAAATTAATAGTGCAATACCGGATGTTGAGTGGCATATCCGTCGAACGGTACTGGTAAACTGACACAAAAATAAAACGAAAGCGTAAAACAACGAGTAGACTATGTGACTATGATGTCCCGTTTCTTCATCATTCGATAGAATGTCTACCCCTTCTTCACAGCATTTATTTTATCATCATCATGACGCACCTCGTGTCTCCATTGCCTCAAAGCACGCGCCCCAGTATTTACAAAACATTAAAGTGCATTTAACTCGTGACCTTCGTCATGACTTTGTTTATTTAATCAACAGACCCGCGTGGGGCATTGTTATTTCTCTCTTTGTTGAATAATTGCGAAATTAATCAATTGATAAATACAAATTTACGTGGGTATATAAGGGGAATTGATCTGAATGCAATTGATTTCAGTGCGAGACTCGCTATGGAAGAGGGAAATCGCGAGACTCGAGCTTTGAATATAAAAAATGTCAGGAGAAGACTCTTCAAGGATGATGATGATGATGGAGAGACCAGCGGACCTAGGGGGACTGATGATAATGAAGCTAATATCTTCATGGAAGAGGCCAGGAAGAATTTTCAGAACGTATGTAATTCATTGGGACTTATGCCCGATGAAATAAAAAAATTCATTACTCATAATTTGAAATTAATTAAATAATATCTGAAATATTATAGAGCAGATTCTTTAGAGTTGATAATGGAAGATAATGGAATATTATTATAATATAAAATATTGGAAATGTATTTGACTCGAAAAGGATTTTTTAAATTTTGACTATTTGTTTATTTCGAATTTTTCAGGCTAAAGAAAAATGGAATTTCGATTTTGCGAAGAACGAGCCCCTGCCAGGTCGTTGGCAATACGTAAAAGCAAATGAAGATTTTCCACCGGACGAACCGGAAACTCCCCCATCGGAAAAAGAGGAAGCGACCTCGAATGCCCCAGAAAATGCTCAACCAGTTGATAAGACTGGAAATTCCAGTTAATAATTTAATTATCGAGTGTAATCACTAACATCCCCATTAATTCATTTTTTATTGAATTTACTATTGGACGAGGCCGTTCAGTATTTTTACCATTTATTTAAACCAAGAGAAGTGTTTAAAAGACTTAAATTTGATATTGATGATGTACCTGGAGCTCATCCCTCCCTTGACTCTGAAAATCATGTGAAGACGTAGTACATAATGATTTTCTAAATTTCTTTGTGATTTCTACCCCTAAATTATAACTTCTGAAACTTATTAAAAAGTTCCAAGTCTAGTCAAATGTAAAAAAAAATTATCATTCGTGATTTATTTATTAATTATTTCTCGAGATTCGTGAATTTTTCATTGAATCTAATGGTGATATTATTTAAATGAAAAAGACCAAACGAAATTCAGCAATTGTGCAATAACAAATGTACAGAGAAGTAATGAAAGGAAAACAATAATAAATGTTGATAAATGTTTCTTTGAAGTGTTGTGTTATTTGTTGACCAATGGCGTCGAGGAGTCAGTGAGAAAAATAACGAAACTAATTACGGATTGCTTTATAATTGCCAGAAAAAGATGACGATTTTTTTTTCCAAGGGGATGAGGAATTGTTCCAGGATGATATTCCAGATTTACGGTTATTTGTCACGGCTCCCGGGTGTCTGCAGTCTGAGGGACGCGTGTCTTCCGTCATCTAGAGGACTTGAGCCTCTGTACAGGAAGAAGGGAAAATTTCATTAAGTGCCACAGCTGTCAGTTATTTCATCTCTCGTTTCTCAATTAGTCTGGCACATCCAGAACGGAAAGGAATCCGGAATATGCGCAGGAAGAGAAATCAAAAGATATCGTCTCCTTAAAAAAAAATGGACAACACTGTTTTTTATATTTTACATTCAATTTTTTGGGCCGAGGGTTAAAATTAATTTTTTCCGATTCAACCACTTGGAGACTCCAATCACCTGCGAGACAAAAATATTCTCCATCTTCGTTTCCTGTACTATTTGAAATCCCTCGCACTGTTCGCCGTACAGATTGCATTTCCGTTGCCGAAATTCCCACGGAAGTCGTATAATTGTGGCCCGACGAACAATGAAATTCGTCAAAACTAAAATACAAAAAATCCCATAATTTTTTCGTGCAAACCCAAAAGCACAAAACAGTCCATTGAAAATTTAAAAAAAACCGATACCCAGGGGATCTTCATTCATCCTCGCCCGATGCAATTGTATTAATTGCTAAAATTATAACTCGTTGAAAGTCGCTCGAACGGGTTTTCACGTACGATAAACTGAATATTTTATTTTCATTTTATTTGTGATTGCAGTGAACACGTCAGTCGTATATAAGCCATGGCGATTAAAAGCGAAAGGATCGGAGTCGCGCTTTTAACCCAGATCTCGTTTTCCACCTCACCTTGAGCTCGCTATCAAGTCGTTGGAAAAAAAATCATCAACGAGCTTATGAACTGGTGAGCAAGTACTGATAACGAGTGCGAGAATATGCAATGCGAAGTTTAGGATAATATAAACAGATGGTTTGGCATTCGTTTTATTGAGTTCGAGGTAAACATGCAGATCCACCACGCACGTGTTGCTAACTTAATATTTAAATGTAATCTCATTAAATTGTAATTGTGACTTCCTTAATTGATTAATCAATTCAAATTTTGAAATTTGAAATTTGAAATTTGAAATTTGAAATTTGAAATTTGAAATTTGAAATTTGAAATTTGAAATGAACTAGAATAGGATGCAAAATGCTCCTAAAAAATATTAATACACTTGAATTTATTTGAATATATCTTCCACTTCATGCAAAATATTTTTTTTCCACATAACAACATATTAAAAATGAAATAACTATGAAAATTTTCAGTATATGATTCCAAAAATATTCTCTGAAATTATCCGAAATGAAATGCGATTTAAAAATTTCCGCGACAAAAATTCGAATTCAAAAATCGCGCCACGGTCATTACCGACCCCTGGCAGTCGCGCAGTCGTCACTGCGCGGCGGCCATATTGCCACAACCCGCGTGGCTCCAACTCCACACGAGTATGAAAAATTAAGTCCGAAATGATTTTATTTTCTCCGCCCCTCCCCCAAAAACCGCGACTTTCGTAAAAAAAATAAAAAATTACAATCCGCGGATCGCATCGAGGACGCGAAAAAAAAATTCGCGAACGCCGGGAATCCCCGAAAAATCCCCCGGGGAGGAAAATTTGCGGAAAACATCGCGTCAATTATTTCGAAATCGCGGTTTAGCTGTCCCGCGTTATCGTTTATCTACGCTTGACTCGCCGAGAGTTTTCGCTCGATGTTTACAATACTTTCCCGCCCGCCAATAAAATCGTCACGCGGTAATAAAGTAAATTGGCGATTGTCAATGAAAACTCGCGGTAACCAACTGCAATTACTCCCATTAATTCCATTAAATTAATCAACTGGCAAAATTCCCCGAAAAACAATTTCTCACTTGAAAAAGTGCCGGATAAATTCAGCGAAAACCTGCGACATTTTCAAGTGCGTAAAAAAATTTATTTTCAGTACGAAAAATATGTTTAAAAAAAAAATAAAATATACCCTTATATTAAGATGATACATCAAATCAGTTTTCATTGGATATCTCTCACATGACAATAGATAGCGATATTTTCATAGAGGCTTTTTTGTAAGTCTCATTTCACTGTACAAGAAAGGTTCTTATAAAAATTTTCCAATATATTTCCAATAGAAATTCGTGAAAAACCTCTGAATTTTCAAGTCTCCTTTACTCCCGATTTCCGTCTTGCCCACCCGTCCCAAAAAATAAAAATAAATTATTATTTACAGATCATTAAAAAATAGTGAAATTGATAAAATGGAAATAAAATGTGAAAAATAAAAAAAAAACGGACAAAAAAATAAATAAAAAGAGGAGTTGAAAAAGTTGTTTTTGCTCTTCGTCCCTGAAACAGCGAATGGCGGGTTTCGTGGCGAAAATAAGATAAGAGTTGGTATATCCCCCACCCAGTGAAAATCCGAGGAGAAGCTCAGGGCGTATTGGAAGTTGTCGACGTTGACACATCGCCAAATTCACTGGGATAAAGTTGGGTAGAGTAATCTCGGCCAGTATGCAAATAAACTTGCGTTCGGAAATTTACGAAAGAAATCGGGTAAATATGTAATGCGCGTTAATGACCCTCACCGATCAGAATATCATTTTGAGAATATTTTCCTCTCCACGAAAATTCGGGGTAAAAAAACCAGAAGAATATAATAAATATAAATAAATATAATAAAATAAGGAATAGTACTAGCGACACAATAAAAAATATTGCACTTGAAAAAAAGAATCATTATTAAAAAACTATTTTTTATTGTTTTTTTATCTTCATTTTAATTTTAGTTATTGATTCCACATCATTATCATTGATACTTGGATTTGCTCGTGCAATTTCTACCGGAAATAATCAGGAAAAAAATGTTTTAATTTTTAAAAAATCGATACATTGTGAATGAAATGTGTGATTCACCATTCCCCGTCAAAATAATCATCATCTATTCTCAAAAGACTCGGTTGTCATAACGAAAACGATCCGGCCGCCTTTTTGATTGTAAATACGTGCAGAGTGAGAGAGGAGCTACCGGAATACGCAATCGTCTCTTTATCCATCATCAAACAGCAATAACAAGAAAACCAACACTTTCCCCTTCCTCCATACCTAGACAAAATAAGTTGAATGAAAAGTGAGTTATCAAATAATAAAAAAAACAACTCCAAAATATTTTTTCCGAATATACAATTCGTCACCTAAAAAAAAAATAAAACCCAAATTTTGAAATCCACGATTTTCCAAAAAGTAAAAATCCCAAAAAAGGACCCATTACCATAATTATTATATAAAAAAAAAACCATTCGCCCTGCGCACCTGAAGCTGCAAACCTGTAAAAAAATTACCACCAACTAAACTATTAACTCCTAAAATAATTTCCAAAACCGTGAGCCCCCCAAAAAAATCCCCAAAAAATAAAAAATAAAAAAATAGAAATAAAATTGAAAATAAAAAATGAAAAATCATTTCATCTTGCGCTCACTTGGAGTGCAGTATACACGAAACCCCGGACTGGAGAGCAACAAACAAGGAGGGGCC